TTCAATTAAATTACACACTTTTAACATTCTTCGAAGTGTTTCTGTTATTATGCAATTTACACCATGTTTTTATCCGCCTTCGTTAAAATAATTCATTAATTTTCACGTAAACAATTTCTTCGATCGTTCTTCCAATCCAATACCTTTAAAATTTCACAAACGAGCGTTTGAAATTCGATATACACTCGTCGCTCGAATTTCTTGTTGCACGCCGCTTCACGATTTTTTTAAGTTGCATTCTACACGCGACTCGATATATAAATAGCGATTCAAAGGGAACAAGAGAAATTCGTTTTATTTTCACTCGAAATCGTACGAAATGTCTAAACGATATTTGCTTCGAGGTATTTTACCTTTCACGTTTCGATTATCGTGAAAACGGGGAAAAGAGACGTATACGTATTCTGCAATCGTTCTTCTAAATTTCAGTTCAGTATTTCAGAAATACTATACTTGGAGAAATACTTTCGCGAGATGGAGAATATCGTGAGTGCAGTTAAATTAAACTTGTATGAAAAAGTACTTGAAACTTATTTCGCCAGAATTTTTCCCTCCTCTATCTTTGATGCACGGTGCACGGAATTATGAGGAAAAAGATAAAATCCTGAAAGGGTCTGGCTCTTTGTACGGAAGGATTATTTATTCTTGAATCGAACTTTTTACTCTTGGAATTGGCTCGAAAAATGCCAGCGAATTTTGTACCATAGATAAATTTTAAGCATGAAACGAACACACGAAGAAGGAAAAAGAATGTAATAGGAGTTAATGAAAACGTGAGAGCGTATTTTAAAATTATTTTAAAATTAATTTAATTAATTAAAGATATGAAATATTTAGTGAGATTTGGATGAAAATATTTTCATTTAAAAAAAAAAAAACAAATGTCGACGTTTTTATAGATGGAATTTGTTTAGTTTTTTTTATGTTTTTTTTGTGAGTATTTTTAAAATAAATATTAAAATTTTTATTCGGATAAAATTTTACTTTTGAGAGGAAACATCGATATTTTACTTTTTGAATTAAATATTTTTCTAAATTGAATTTTAAAAAATAATGTATTATTGTAATATAAATAAAGTGTAATGTAATATATTAATGTATAATTTGAATAAAAGTATATATTTTCACATTTCAATTTAAAAATAAAATTTTTATATCTTTGAATATTGATGTTTCATTTTTTAAATAAATACATGTAGAAATTCTCATAAATGATGAAATTTCAACAAAATTATCTTTGAATTTATTATGTTATATGTTTGTGTTACAATGTATCAGATATAAAGTGATGAAGAATAATAGTTTCAAAGAGATTCTACGAGTAAATGCATTTTTTGATAAAAATTTCATTGGAACTTTTAATCTTATCTTTCTAATGGACTTCTATCACGTACAGGAATAGAAAGTTTCTTCGATTAGGGAAGTGAAATTTACAGGTCATAAACCATTCGAATGTATAATCATATGCAGTTCTGAATGTATTCATCGATAATTTTTTATATGAATCTTAATATAAAATAATATAAAATCCCAAAATAAAATTTAATTTTATTTTGGGATTTTAAATAAAAGAAATCTGTAAAAAATTATAAATTTAAAATTTAAATATTAGAAATTTCTTTTTTTATTCTTCTTTTTATCAAAAATATTTTGAATCTTTATTTTACTTCATTAAAAAAAAAAGAAGAAAAAAGAAAAATAAAAAAATAATAATAGTATTTAATGAATATATTTACACATCATTATTATACATGTAAATTACATATTACATATATAAAATATTTTTCAGCAAAAATAATTAACTTTTGGAAAGGGTAGTTAATTTTAGAAAAAAAAAGTAATTAACTTTTAAAGAGAGAAAGAGAGAGAAAAAGACAACTGTTGAGCATCACAGAGATTTTTAAAACAATTTTCTTTCTTGTACAATGTATCGAGTTATTAATTTTGTTAATTCACAAAAAATAAGTATTTTTATAATTACTAATTTGTTTTAGAAAATACACATGTTTTTTCTTCCGTCTCTTTCTTTTTCTTCTTCAATATATAATTAAACACATTTGTCAAATGGAAAAATAATTTTTCGAGAAATCTGGCGTTTCGAGAATTCTTTAGTTAGGACTATAAAGTCGAGGCAAATACGAAAAAGAGAAAACCTTCTGATCTGATTCGTAAAGAAAGTATCTGATTTCGTAAAGAAAGCAAAAGAAGAAACATCCCATGGTATGTTTCTTTTTATTGTTAACCCGTTGAATAATTGACAAGTTCATTGATTTCTCTTCTCTTTACGAATCAACGCATTCAACACGAAAGTTCTCGAACTGTTTTCTAACTTTCCCCTTCGTTCATCGAAATAAAAGAAATAGGTTGCCGCGTTTCAACGTTCACGTTTTTATTACAGATCAATTTTTCCTCGGATGTGTCGATTTTCATTGCATCACAAAACATACGTGTCGTTTGATAATCATTTATATTTGGTCGATTCGAGAGTTGAACTATTCTATTTCTTCATATTCACAAATAGTTCATTATGTAAAAATATACAACTTATTTATCAAATAAATTATAATTAAGCATTGATATCTTTCGATAATATTATATTTGCAAAGAAATTCAGATTGAAAATTCAGAAATTGAAGACTGATAAAGACTCAATGCGACACCCTTCGTGAAAATTGTTCCCGGTCGAATAATAAATGTCCCTTTCTCGAATTCATATTTTTCAACAGCCATTCGAAGATATTCTTGAAAATGAATTCTTGAAGGGAAAACGTTCTTAAAAAAATCGCGATTCTTCACGGTTGTATGAATTTCATTACGATTTCTTTCTCGAATGTCCGCGGAAAGGAGTAGCGGAAAATCTGCGGAAACGTTCTTTCCATTTCTCTTCGTGCAAGATGTTATGCGTCATCTTATGTATGTCGTGCAATGTTATTTCACATTTTACGGGAATATAACGGGAGTTTATTTAAAGTTAAATTTCAACTGCGGGAAATAGTGAAGGCGTTATATCGATATACTTGTTATCTCTATCTCATTTTATTCATATTTACCTAAAGGAAAATGATAAATTTAAATAAATAAATAAAATAAATAAATAAAATGATTGTGTTACATATTGACGAATAAAATTGTTCAAAGTAATCTTTTCTCACTAATTTCAATTCTAAAATCATTTAAATCACAACCCTATTAAAAACTAAAATCCTAACCATAATATATATGTATATTCATAAAATTTCAAATCATAATCAAATTTCAAATCAATATTTATAATTCTCTATAAATAATTAAAAAAATAAAAATATAGTTCAATGTATCAATTCCACGATCTCCGCGAAACCATCCCTTTTCCTCGAGAGCGTGTGTAGGTCACCCTGATTCGCGATATCATCCCTTGACATCCGTTTCGGCCCTTCTGTCCGGCTGTAACAACCCCGAGAAAACCACCACCGATCTTCCTTCTACTCCCGTTTATCGTGTGTACACGTAAATGCAGAGGGGGGTTGGAGAAGCACGTCTGCGCGATGCGCGTCGAGAGAGGAACGAAGCCTCTTTCACGGCCGGTCCGACGTGCTTTTCCACCCTCGACGACAGTCCTGCCGCACCACCGAAACGTGCAACACAATCGTGAGTAAATTTCCTTCACACATTGGTCGATCGCATACACGCACACGTATTCTCTCTCTCTCTCTCTCTCTTTTTTCTCTTTCTCCTCTCGCGTTCTTCGTCCACCCTTAAACCGGATACGAGATCCTGTTTAATCCGATTCATCCCTCTCCCTTCCCGATTTTTATGTTTATCTCTTGTTTTGTTTATTTGAAGTAAAATCGAAGTAATTTTTACGACGATTGTTATTCGTAATGGTGGAAGATATCGTGAATTTTTGTAATGCAGTTAACGATTTCAAGTTGAAGGATATTGTGAAATTGTTTGTTTTAGTTGTTGGTAATTGGAAGATTCTTTTGTTCATGACTGAATTTTTTATTTTTATATTTTTGTAACAATTGTATAGTTTCTTTGGTTCTTGAATTTTATATAGGTCATATCGATAGGGATAATTTTTTTAATAATATTTATTTAAATTGTATAGTTTTTTTATTAGTTATTTTTATAAATTTTATTAGAAAAATTTGAAAATTTGAAAATATGAAATTTTCGGAAAAAATCGTTTGGAAAGATTCGAAGGGAAATTTTTAAAAACGAATCAAATTCTTGCATTGGAACTTTTCTTAAAACGAAGATTTACTGATCGACGTTTTTGAATTATTTAGAGAGGTTTAAGGGTAGATACAGTGACGCGGTTCTTTACATTTAGTTGTACGTTCTCTGTGTGTTTGCGGAGGATCTCGTGGAACGGTGGTATGGAATTCACACCGCGTGGATAAACCAGAGCCACGGAATGAAGATTAATTCCTTTCTGCTTGTCCTTTGCCTCTTGTATATCCTCGCTTTAACAAATCTCCATCCAGTAGAAAACTTGGACGATCTCGATCGGATTTTATTTACGATTCCTTTGAGGATGAACTCGAGGTCGGAAAGTGAAACTGGAACTAAAGTGCGTGCTTTTTCTTTCACGTTTCCATTTCACGTTGTCGAAGAATCGCAGTTTTGGTTTGGTTATTTTGATAAAAAATTATATTACAGTGAGTGATTTAATTATTATGATCGAAGGATGAAATTGAAAATATTATATTTTTAAATTTTAGATAGGTAGGTTCTGTATAAGTGTAAAAAATTTTGTTATAAATTTTTCAGATGTTCACGAATAATAAGTAGAATATTTTATAATATTATAATCAATGATAATTTCAAAATGATCATAATAATTTCATCTTTCATCGTGTTTTTTGAATAAATTGTGAATAAAATATTGCGATTAATTTATATAATATTGTGGAAAATTTATTTTTCCTTTACATTATTATTGTAGGGAAAATTGAAGGGGACCACGTTTTTTATCGATCCCTTATATGTTATTATTAAATCATTTCGAGTGACCGATTAATAATGTGAAAGCACTTTCTCTTTTTATAAACATCCAATAGCCAATGTTGTAACTTTTTATTTATTAAACGTTTTTATCTCCTGAAACGAGAAAAAAATTATAGAATATTGGAAAATTAAAGTTTGGATGCTTTGACATTCTTCAATGAAAGTTCTAGTTAAAAATTTATGTTAAAAAAAATATTCAAATATCCTAGATACTAGAAACAATAGGAAATATAAAAGTTATATTTCTTAATGAAATTGATTTGTAACAATCATTTTTAATGAAAAATGTAATATTATGAAATATCATTTTTGCTATTGGGTGTAGCTATATTTCTAAAACGATTAACATACAAAAAAGAAGATAAAATATGAAACACACGAAGGATAGACATAAATTAGTATACTATTTATCTCTTATCTTTTATATAAATTTTGGAAAATTAAAATTAAAAAATCCTTCAAGTTAATTAAATATAATTTTTTAAATTTCTTCTGGAGTATTTAAATCATTTCATTTTTATCCAATAAAATCTCTTTTCATCCCTAAATTTCTTCCATTAACAACTAGTTTTCTGATACAAACAAAATTTAATTTTCTCATTTAATCACATCAATCTAATCTAATAATTTAATAACCCCTATAACAGCACATCAATAAACCTTTGAAAGGGTTGAAAAATCTTCCCCATTTACTTTTCTCGCAATTTCCACTATTTAATCCCCTTTCTTTCGCCAATTTTTCAAACTTGACCCATCACGAACGAGAGAGAAAGTGCTTCCAGAGTGTTTTTCCGCGCGTGTGAAGCCTGATCCCAAAATCTAATAAATTTTTCAGCGATCTGGTGAAAATTTCCACGATTATAATAACAGGTTGGCAAGCCTCTGGCAACGAGAATATCGGGAAACGCGGTTTCGTTAACCGTCCCTCGAGCTGTTTCTAAACGATCCCGGAAATACGGTTAGCAAAACTAGATTATAGACGACGACGATGTCGTTTGATCCTTCGTTTGCTCTCGCACAATGCAAACACGGCTTCGTATATCGAACCCTCGTCTTCCACTTTTGTCCGTGACATTCGTGGCTCGATTTGAGTATTGTTTACGCCTTATTTCTTCGCCTTTTCAAATATAATTATATAAAATTATTAAATATAATAATTGTATTGGGAATAAATAGGATAGATAAAGATAAAGATTGATAAGAATTGTTAGAAATAATTTTCTTATTAAATTAATTAATTTTCTTATAAAAAATTTGTTTTTGATTTTAGGCATAGAAATTTTCATTATTTTATTCATTGTAATGATAGCTTCAATGTTTGGCAATCGATGGTTCAAAAAATTTCATTAAAATTGAACGTAAAATGTGTAAAATAAATTTTATGTTTATCAATATATATTTGTAGATAATATTAAAGGATGATAATCATAGATCAGTACGAGAATCAAAAATGATGATATGTCAGTATTTTAAAACATTTTTACATTTGGTAATATATTTTGTATAAGTTTTCATTTAAAAAATTATGATGTCCCCCACGAAAATCTAATTTTAAAATTCAAAATTAGCTGGGAACAATGAGAGAATAGAGAGGAGAAATAATGGAGATTGAGATTATAAAAAGATTATTGAAAGAAATCTGATCTGATTTTAAGAGGGTAACAAAAATTTTTATCATCGAAGAATAAATTTTAATATAGTTTTATAATGTGATTGGAAAAGGAAAAGTATTTTCATTAATGTTTTCACACGGATAATTTGAAATGCTATAACATTAAATTTAATGGGAGATTGAATGTTATTAAGAAGTTCGTAAAGCATATTAATGAATTAGTAATGAAAATTTCGAGTGCAAATGTTTACAATGCATATTTCATTCGTAACTTATTATTGATAAATGAAATTAATTAATAATGTAGGTCATTATTTAAACAATTTAATAATTAGTTCAACTAATTCAATTACCGAGTTATATTCCTCATGGAATAGTAACATCTTACAATAGATACGTTTAAATTTCGTTTGTATTTACGATAATTTTTAGTAAATTTCAAAAAAATGATAGTATAATCAGTTATTCTTGAAAAATTAATTATTTCTATCATATCATTCTTATCGTTTTTATTTTTAATTTACAGTATCAAATCATACTGTGAAATAAATTTGATTTCAAATTACAAAATTCGTCAAAATTTAAAGTCAATGTTTGCAAAAATATTTCGAGCTTACAGTTTTCTTATAGTTTTATATATCAAGCCAATAATATTATATCGTCAACACTGTTATTTCTATCAACAGAAATCAATTTAACTTTAAAACAAAAATATTTCTCGATTCGAGCCTTGAATGTGTATCCATCCAAACTTTCTGTGTATATATACAAATTGCTTTTTGACAAAGTGTTTCATACACTGAGTTGTGTTATCTTGACAGCATTAAATGCTATTCTTTTTATAAATATATACATAACCACGATAAACAAATATATATGTGCATGACAATTCATTGTTATTCCATTGTAGCTATAATAAATAAGTTTTATCTTTTTCAAAGTGGATGCAATCTCTCTTTTGGTAGATTTCGTGTATCAAAAATAATAGGATTTTTAGTAGAAAAGTTGATATTTGAGAAAATTTCTTGCACACAAATTTATTTATTATAGACAGCATAATTACAATTAATATCATCTCTTTTTCTTTTTGCAAAAGATATGAAAAATCAGTTCGTTAAATTTTCAGGAAATATGAATTTTCATATTGTTTACTGAACATTTCAATTGATAATTTATTGAGTTTAAATGGACATTGTTTGAATTATTATCATTGCATAACGTGGTATGTGTATTTGTATATATATTGTATATATATATAATATGCATTGTTCAGCTTTTTGAAATATAAACTAGGTAAACTAGGTATAATTTCTGTTGATTAGAGGAAATTATTTAAATGGAAGAACTAGAAATGATTATTAGATAAGAATTGATTAACAATAAAAGAAATATATTTACTGCATAAAAGCAAAAATCTTCAAATTTTCAGCGTAAAAATTTTTCATTATTTTTATTCAACAATACTATACTCCCTGTATAAATATCATTTTCATTTCAAAATGAAAACCCTCGAAATTTCAATCCGATCTATTTTTCCGTCGCCTTTATTTTCCATTTTCATACTTTCAAATATTTCATTTTCTGGAGAACCTTTCGACAAACCTTTCGATATCACAAAATTATCATCAAATTCATTCAAACTTTCTTGTGTACCATGCTAAACGAAGAGCCAACAGGTTTTCCTCTTCCCTTTCTTCCCTTTCTTCCCTTTCTTCCCTTTCTTCCCTTTCTTCCCTTTTCGCCGTCGCGTCCAACTTAAACACCGGCCGATCGATCGAAAAAACTTTGACCCAGTTACTCGTTTCATCCTCTGGAACAATGCGTGAAAAAAGTCGGGCTGAGCATCGACCTCCTCCTCTTAAATTGTTCAACACGATCGAAACGGAATTAAGTGACGTGACCGACGAGAGGGAACAGTGGCTGGCGGAATGCTCGAAAATCAAACCGTGTCCCCGATCGCTTTTCACGTGGAACAATGGAGATCCACTCGGGAAGAGCGCAGGGACCTGTTTACGATAACCTC